AATAAAACAGACACAGAGTGATTCATGATTTAGCTATCAATCCTCCATTAAGGTAGCCACATCTTCAGCTAAAGACATTTATTTTAGCTTTTGAATATTTTTTCGCGAAACCCTCCCATTGGCAGTATGAACCAAACACGCTTAATAAATTCTTCAGGCCCACTGGTGTTTGTGATAACAAAACCACTTCATTTGCATACAATAAAACAGACACAGAGTGATTCATGATTTAGGGAGACAGAACTGATCCTCTTTTAATATTAAAACATCACGTCTACAAAAATTAAAACAAAAAGGGGTTAAAAGACAGGCCTGCCAAACCTCCTTTGTAACTGAGAAAGAATCTGTTAAATTCCAGAACAGGCCTATGCTAATCTTGGATTATGGAGAACTCTAAAAAGAAAAAAAATAATTAGGGATCTATTCTATCAATCATCAGTTTGCTCCCAGACAGTTCCTATCAACAGAATCAAAAGCCAATTTCAGATCAACAAAAGCTGCATCCCAGTTGAACCTCTCTAATCCGGCGTCCTGGGGACCTGACTGGCCCTGAACCAGAGAATTTGCTGAACCATAGGAGGTCAATATTGTCTAGCAGTGTTATGAATACTTCCATTGCTTAATGGGCTCTTAGAAGACATTTAGGGATAAATTAGAAATCAACCCGAAGGCATGCAGCAGAAAAGTTTAGTCTAAACAGATGTCTACTAATCAATGTTCTTTTAAAATACTTCTACGGGGATAAAATCCTCCATTGGTGCTTTATTACAATGTTGTTGATTAAAAATTTATAAATTTCTACAAGATATCACGGACCATTCTGAAAAGGAACAGGGAATGGAGATTACCTGAGCTGACTATATTATATTATTATAGAGTCTGAAATTGTTTTTCTTCCAAATTAGGGTGACCAGATAGCAGGTGTGAAAAATCAGGACAGGAATAGGGGGTAATAAGTGCCTATATAAGAAAAAGCCTTGGATATCAGGACTGTCTTTATAAAGTCAGGACATATGGTTACTCTATCCCATATTTGGTTGAGAATCAGCACTTCCCTACTACTCCTAGTTTTCTTGGAACCCATTAGGGAGGTGAATGGTTAACTGGTTGCTGGTCCTGCTAACTGGAAGGGGCTGGAGAAGTGTGCTGTGGGTAGGGACACTTCAGGCCAGCCAGAGTGGGCCCTGCCTGTGGTCCTGCTCAACCATGGCCCCCACCCACTCCCATTTAAGTGGTTAACCAGTTAAACATAACATTTATCCAGTTTACTGATTATATAGGATTTTACATCCTTACTACCAATCTGTAAAAATGTATAGAACTTTTCATTTTGGCAGCAGATTCAGATTCCTTCCACAGTGCCATATGAGGCACTTTTTTTTTCTTTCAGCAATGTTTTATTAAGTTCTCTAAAGTTAACTAGCTTTGTGATGGGGTCTTTCCTCGTCTCCCTAAATATGGTCCGTTACTGTTTTCTCTTACAAAAACAAATCAATGCAGTATAAAAAAGAAAGGTTGAACTCCAGTACAGTAACAAGAAACAAAAAACTCAGAAAAAAATTAGAGTGGCCATCTTCTGCTGGGAATGGAAAAGAGTGATTGACTGGAAAACTGCAGATCAGCTCTTAACATACTTGAAAAATCACTGATGGTGGATTATAACTATACTGCTGAGTAACCAACCTGATTTCAGACACGCATAATGAAAGATGTTCCTAAGTTACAAAAGACAATGTAGACTCAGAAAGTAGTCTTCATCATTGGAAATGCCATTCTGAACTTCTTCATAGGAAGAAGTGACCATTATCAGATTCGTGATATTACTCAATTTCACTAGACTAAGGAAGTGGCTCCTAACAACAATACAAGATGAAGATATAGAAAGATGTATTAGGTCAAGTTGTCCAACCTTCTGCCACAGTAAGGTTGTTGCTAGAACCAGTTACCAATATACTGTAATCTGTTATATATTTTAGAGAGTTTGTCTGTTTGATCAAGAACTCTTCCTAAACAGTAGGAGCTAGGGACTACCAAATTCAGTACACCACTTTCTCTTACCATAACTTAAAGCAACATAAAGGTTTGGTTGGGCCAGGATAACAGGATGTGCCTAAAATAGGATTGCTTCTCATAAAACCAAACAGAATAAGACAGACTCACCAAAGCAAGTACTGTCCTCAAAATTAACATAATTGAACAAATGAAAGAGTCTGAACCAAGATGAGCCAGAAAAATGAGATGAATTTGGACTAGGATTGCTTCTCAGTAAACATTACAGAAAATAGATGAAACAAAAAAATGTGGAGTGGTGGTCTGTTTTGGCGTAGGTAAATCAACGCTAAGGTTTGAAAACTAGAAAAAATGTTATTGGAAACCAAATTGACTCTAGCCCCCATTTTTGGTTAAAACACAGTGAATGATAAGAGTTTCTAGGGATGAAGAAACAAGATACACTTGAGGGAATTCCTGAATTACAGACAGATTCTAGGAATGAAAATTTGGAAAAATTAAGAAAGCTAATGAGTAATCTGGGAAGTATTAAAATCCACAAGTTTGGAAGAAAGCTGGGAGATTCTAAAAGCATCCAGGCCAGATCCTTAGCTGATGTAAAATGGCATTCATCTATTAAAAATCAAAGGCCCTGTACTGAATTATACCAGTTGAGGATCTAGACCATCATAACTAATGTACAATACAAAAGGTATGATGTACAAGAATCAGCAAATATGGGTTAATATAGGATTTTCAAGAATGTCAATTTTATTGTGAACTACTGATGCCTTTTATTACTTCATTTCAAACAAATCTACAACAAGCCCTTTCCTTATATCTGCTTTATTGACTATATTTTTTGACACTTTATATACTTATTATGATGAAAGCTGTAACTGATCAATTACACTCATACCAAGTCAGAGAGGAATGAGAGGGGAAAGATTTTTAGTCAGATGTTTAAAACTCTAATTTTGTTCCTTTAAGTTAATATATTAAATTACTGAAATCAAGCTTCTGATAAAAAATTGAGAGAAAAGTTTTCTTTGTTAATGGGTCCTCCTCTGCCACTTTAGAAAGGGAAACTTCCCTTCCAGTTTTCTAGTTCCTCAAAACAATGACAGCAGCCCACCCCCCACCTCTGAAACACCACTTAGGGGAGGAGTTGCCTCAATAACTGGAAGGACAGAGAAAGATTCAGGTTCTTCTAACATTTCCATGGACGTAGTAGGCCATTCCACCTCCAGAATAACAGCCTTTTCCTGCTGCTAGATAGTGTAGGTAGTACTGTCGTTCAAGTGATAGAGCTTTATACTGAAGATTCAAGATTCAAGCCCTGCTGATATTTTGTGATGGGGGATCATTCTTATAGCTGTACATAGTATTTCCTTTTAAAAGCACTTAGAAAATTATATAAACCCCTCTCCTCGGAGGTACAAAAACATTATTTAAGTTGAAAAGTCAAGCAAGAATGCCAGGTCCATGTTTGCCTATGCAACCTTAATTCTACTTTTGCATATGCATTATGATATAATCTTTAATTATATGACCACACATTTTTGTTTTTCATGGGACCTCTGTCTAATTCAGTGTGCAGAATGGACACGCAAGTAGAGCAAATTAAGTTTGAACAAACAACATTAAAGCTGGCAATTCCCAACTTTTCAGTGCTTATCTTTTCAACCTACGTAACTGTTTCATCGTACCTTTTTAAAAAAAATGCAATTATTTATATAACTTTAATGTAATTTCTAGTTATAAGGTGATTTTCTGTTTATGAGCCATGCCTTCACCTAAATAAATGCTAAGTCAAGGCTGAGATGGCTGGTAGCCCAGAATGCAGTTACCAAATTGAAAGGGACCACCTCAAATCCTTACAGAGTACTGGAACATTTAAATAATGTATCCGACACACAACTAGGTTAAAAAATGTTTTTTACAGAAAGATAAGCTGAGAGAGTTTGGAACAGTATAAACAACTTGCTGGATGAAATGAGAACTTGAGGAGAATATGTTTGTTAAATCACTACGATATTTACCATAGTTTTCCCTTAGAATAAAGTACCAAGTAGTTGTGAGTCGCTACTTTAAGAACAGGAAAAATCCTCAAGCTATCACATAAATAACTAAAGACATTCGTTTATATTAACAGCTAGCTCCCTACAAATTTTCATTTAATTTTTTAAACCTAAAATATGACTAAGAATGTCTGAATCTTTTCCCCCAAACAAAGCTAATTCTGATCATTGCCAAGATAAGATTACCTTGTTCTTACATCTAGGCTGACAAAGTGTATGACATACTCAATACACTTTAAAGATGACCTAGAAAGGCAAACAAAAATTGCTTATGCCTTGTTTTGTTTTCTTGTTATATATTCAGGGTTTGGTTTACTTTTTTTTAACTTATTTTTTGTATTAGACATATCTGAAGCATCAAAGTCTTGTTCTTTCCATGTTTTTATAGAGGACTGTTTTGTAGGATTATAGAACTATAATGGAAATCTCCTCAGATGTTATCTTAAGTGACAAGGGAGAAGAAATGATTAACAAAGAAAGTTTTTGTCCTGAGTATTTTCCAGAAGCTTGAGTAAAATAAAAACAAACAAAAAATCGAGTTTTTCTCAACTGCAAAGCTATCAGCCTCTTGTCATTTATGATGCTGTGATCCCCCTATTTCTATTTCTCTAGTCAGCCATACAATCAGGGTAGATAAGACCTCATATTACTAACATTATATTAAAAATACCAGAACCTTTACACACCAGTTTAAACCCAAACCATTTACATTTTCTTTATACATTCTGAAGAAGCAAAAGAGGGCACAAATGCAATTTTTCCTCTCCTTTATGGGTCACCTCTTTAGTCAAATAAGGATTTTATTATGGCAATATAGGCACACTGTGGTGGCAAGAACATGCCATAAATAAAGCAATATTTGTGCAAATGGGAGATTTAGTAATATCGATATGAATACAATTATAGGTGTGTGGGGTGAAGGTATTATACCTGGTCATGGCTGGCTTCAATGGAGCTTCCGATACCATGGAAAGTCATCTGCACAGGAGACAGTGTCAAACTGGTCATACACTCTTTGCCATTTTGTCTATCACTGTAGTGTACCTATAATAGAATAACATACGTAATCTGCTAAACACCAGATTGCATAAGGGAGTCGTGCTAAAATAATCTGTCCCTTTCCAACAAGTCTGTAAAGGAATTCAAAACATTTACACTGAATCCAGGTTCAATATAAAACAAGGAATATGCAAAATATTCTGAGTATCCACATTCTGAACTGGGGACAAATTTCTCTGGTTAATCAGTTTGTTGGTCCCTCTTCAGGTACTATATGCTGCAGAGCCTAGGAACATTAAAGCCCGTTAAAGATATTGTTACAGACCTAAGAAACTAAGTCTATGTTTCAGTTTTGAAACTATGTGTTATTTTAAATAACCTTTTATGGATTAAAAACAACTATGTTACAGGCAACCATGGCTACCCCTCTGAGATTTTTATAGATTAGTTTAAAAAACTTTATTTAAACTACAGTGCTCTCCACAGACTAGCCCAATCTAGAGCTGGTTGGGAAATTTTCAATTAAACTTTTTTTCATCTAAAAATGCCAGTTTATTGAAAGGGAAAGTTTTTGCAACACAAGGATAAATTTCAACAAATTTCTTGACAGAATGTTGAATAAAACCTTTTTGAATTTGGAAAATATTTAATTTTCACACTTTACACATGAAAATTCTGGTTTTCCAGTTCAAAGAAGACTTTTAGTTTAGAAATTTAATCCAGTTAGAGTAAAAACATTTTAAATGGTCAAAAATTAAACACTTCAAAATTACTGAAACTAATTTTACATGAAGTGAATTTTTCAAAACAGTTCACCAGAAGTAAATTCCCCCTCCCATCTGACCCATTTTTTATGCACAAAACTTCTAAAAATTTCAACTTCTCAGCCTCATTACGGATGGGAAATTTGTTTTGAAATCTCAAAAATTTTCATTGAATGGGAAAGCCATTTTCCATCCAGCTCCAGCAATTACATTACTTTTAATTTTTTCACTGCAATGTGATTGCTACAGAAACACACTGAATGCATTTCAAATGTACTGATTGTTTGACATTGCAATATCATTATCATAGCTGTTTTTTTTTTAATCAAATCAAAAGGATTTAAGACATGGGAAGGAATTCACATTATTTTTAGAGCCAAGTACAACTCAATCTCTATTAGTATCTAAAAGCACACACTAATCAGATTCTTGCACAGAATATAAAGGAAGATACTGATCCTACTGGATTTTCCCCTTTGCCTTCAGGTCACCTTAAAACAGCTCTTAAACCCTCTATAGAAAGAGAACCTTCTTCTATCTTGAGGCAAAATGAAGTCATGCATCTCTGATGTTTTATTAGTAAGAACAGGGTTGCCACTCATGCTGAACTGATGAAATATTACAATCTGCTTTGTAGCTCCTGGATTCTTGACAGGCAGATAAAGCACTTTGTTCTACAAGAAGGGTGGAATTTAGTTTATGATGGTAATTTACATTGGTTACCTGACCCCTGTCAGAAATGGAAAGGGAGATTAGCCCTATTGAAGACAGGCATTTTAGGGTAGTACCTATTTACAGTTGCATGGTTGTTGGGGAAAAGCCTCATCTTTACATTTAGGCTAGAAATTTGAATATTATTATTTCTGTGGACAACTAGGGGCCATATTAAATTATACCAAACTGTCTGTGGAATTGATTGAGATATATAACACTAGATTGGGCACTGGGTAAATGCACTTTGTGTTTGATTCTTCTCTCTTACTGGATAAATTGGGAGTATTGAATTGAGGAGTTAAAACAGTGCAAAACTAAGCTAAGGGAGAAGATAGTTATGCAATCAGCATGTTGCAAAGTTAACTTTATTGATCACGAAGACTGTTGCATATGGGTATGTCTATACTACAAAGTTAATTCGAACTAACGGATGTTAGTTCGAATTAACTTTCATAGGCGCTACACTAGCGCTCCGCTAGTTGGAACTTAATTCGAACTAGCGGAGCGCTTAGTTCGAACTAGGAAAACCTCATTTTACGAGGATTAAGCCTAGTTCGAACTAGCTAGTTCGAATTAAGGGGTGTGTAGCCCCTTAATTCGAACTAGTGGGAGGCTAGCCCTCCCCAGCTTTCCCTGGTGGCCACTCTGGCCAACACCAGGGAAACTCTACTGCCCCCCTCCCGGCCCCAGACCCCTTAAAGGGGCACGGGCTGGCTACGGTTCCCATGCCAGGTGCAAGCCTGCCAGCACCCAGCCAGCAGACCCTGCACCTGGCACGGGTGGGGGGAAGGGGAGAGACATTCTGCTGTAACTTAATGACGGGTGCAAAATGCACACACATCTCCCTTGATGTGGCTGCCAACCACATTCCCCTTGCACACCCAAGCCTAGAAGTCTTTGTGGGCCCCACTAGGTTCTGGGGTGGGTGAAAAAATAAGGGGTTCAGTGTGTGGGAAGAGACTGCCTGGATAAGAACATAAGAACATAAGAATGGCCGCACTGGGTCAGACCAACGGTCCATCTAGCCCAGTAGCCTGTCTGCCAACAGCGGCCAACACCAGGTACCCCAGAGGGGATGGACTTAAGATAGTGACCAAGCCATTTGTCTCGAGCCATCCATCTCCAGCCTTCCACAAACTTTAGGCAGGGACACCATTTCTATCCCCTGGCTAATACCATTCCATGGACCCAACCTCCA